CAATTGAAATATTACCATTGGGGGCATAGTGTGAACCAAGTTTTGGCAAAAATTTGGTGTAAAACAATCCCATATTTCTTGAAGCTTTTGTCTCAGTTCGGTGATTGTTCGAGCAGGTTGTTGTCGTAGAACCTTTTTTATCTCGTGCCACAAAGTTTCAATAGGTGACAGATCTGGGGTGCTAGAAACCCATTTCAAAAGTGGTAGATACATCATTTTCTTCCATCCATTTTATAGCCCTTTTTGAGGTATGTCACGCTGCACCATCTTGCTGAAACACAAAATCTTGGCCGGATGTCAAACATTCTTCCATCACTGGTAAAAGCGATTCTTCTAAAATTGACAAATATTTGTTTGTATCCACATTTCCATCAATAAAATGAAGTTTTCCTACTCCTTTTGATGACATACTGCCCCAGACCATAATGGATGCTGCAAATTTCACTTTTCTCTTCAGACAGTCAACATGGAATGCTTCATTTTTTTCGAATAACTCTACTGCGACTGTCACCAACACAAACTTCGAATCGGGCCTCATCACTCCATTGTATTGCACACAATTGTTGAGGTGTCCATTATTGTCTATGTTCTTTAGCCCATCTAAGCAGTGTAGTTAATAGTGGCTTTTCTTTGGCCTATAAACAAGTTGTGCAACTTTACGGTTTTTACTTCACTTTTTTTTATAAGAAAACTTACCTTGCAAGTGCTAAATCCCAGTTTGTGGGCCTCTCTATGAGTTGTGGACCTCGAACTTCTCCTTCCAACAGCGCCACTCCACAGAGCGCTTAATTGTAAATAATTGGCACGCCTGTTTTTCACGATTATTCTTCTTAATGCTCTTCGGTCGGCATTTGTGATATTACTTTTTTTCACATATCGTGGCTTAATATTAACTGAACCAGTTACGTTATATCTTCTAACAATATTTATCATACTGTACCGCGATAAGTCTAACAAAGTTGAAATTTCTGAGTTTGATTTCCCAGAATTAAAAAAATTAATTATCAGTAACTGAATTTTCTCACTAATAACCTTTCCTCTACCCATTTTGAAAACCTTAACTACCCAAAACCACTCGTACACGTGAGTTTTTCCCAAAGCATCATCTGTGTAAGCTATTTTCAACATTAAAACAGTTTCACCAGCATTTTTACCAATTAGAAAGCAAAATTTCACAGCTGCACGTTGCTCACTGAAGCTTGCCATCGTAAAAAACGAAACAAGCACGAAACAGCTCTAGAAAAGTAATGATAATAAGTTGCGCTGTACGCCTCTATGGGCAGAAATGCGTACTACATAAGCTCCGCCCACTTCAATGCTATTCCGGTTATATTTGGGATACCAGAACGTCCAAAAATTGACATGGTGTATCTTCAGTGTCCGTACTTCCAATTCTTTTGAATCAACTATACTCTTTTTTACTGATAGCCAATTTAGTCTACGATCTTATGTCAAGGTAGAAGTACAGAATCAATCTACTGCCATTTTTTATATTGTATGATATTTTCACTCCCCTCGCCACTGGGAAGTATTGTGATCCTGAAAATTGTCGTTTTTTAGATGTTATACACGTATATCACGAAAAACCGTCTGTTTGTCTGTCCGCTAGTCCCTGGCCTATTTATAATCAGAAAAGTACCAGTCGGATTTTGCTGAAATTTCCACACAAGGTTAATACTATGCTGAGCCCAAAAAGGCTTTGTAGTTTTTGAAAATCGATTCGAGGGGGGGGGGAAGGGTGTCAGTATATCAACCTCGATTATTCTACGCCCCTATTAGACATATTTCACATTTCATAGGTTTCCGTACATTTGCCTTTAAAACTTAAAACGATAGAAACATGTTTCTGACAAGCGTCCTGCATCTGCTGACTTCCAATGGCCGCGGACAGCGTGCCGGTGCTCGTATGTGACCTGCATTACTGGGCGCTCTGCCCATGCTTTCAGATATTGGGGAGAGGCGATGCGACGTTGCCAGGTGGAGGGTAATACATGGTAAGGATACTATGGGCTAATTGAACGGACCTGTTTCACTGACTTGATCCGTTTAATTTCTCTGTTATACATGTACGTAACTACTGTTCTTTTAGGGTGTCTAGCTCAAACATGCTGCTTTCGTCCTTCAAACCAAAGACAGCCAACCACAAACAGCTCTTTCGTGATTTTTCGGCAACTCATCACCTTGATCTCTGGGACAGAGAACTAAAGCATAGCAACTATCCTCTATCCACGATATAAGTTTTAGCATAAGTCTAGCATAATCCTTTATGGATTGATCAAGTATAGAGTCAACCTTCTTGACTTCATTTTTTAATATAGTGAATAAATATTTGAATTTGGATAAGCTTGTGTGATCCGTTCCTGCGTATCGCTATGGCCATACACCATACCCAACCCACCCCAATGCTCATTTCGGTTCGGCAAAAGGGAGGATAGGAGGCAAAGCGGCGGCGGCGCGACTGGATGCCGGCAGCCACCGTCACCAGGGGGCCCCGGCCACCGACAAAAGGGCATTGACATCGAGCTAAGCCCAAGACCTAACACTACAAAACGTAGAATGGGGTGATCACGAATCATGGGGCGCTTGCGAAGCAGCAATTCGATCTTGCTTGAGGTTGAAATGTGAAAAAGAAATCGAGTAGGTTGACTCGTCACCAGGGGGCCAGGTTGACTCGTCACCAGGGGGCCACCAGCCATCGACTAAATGCATTGACATCCATCTAACACTACAAGACGAGAATGGGGTGATTACGGATCATGAAGCGCTTGCTTAACAGCAATTCGATCTTGGTCAAGGTTGAAATGTGAAAAAAGAAATCGAGTAAATTGACTCGTCACTAGAAGGTCCACACGTACAGACGAAAGGACGGTAACATCGACCCTACACCTAAGACTATTCCACATAGAAACGGGTGGTGATGAGGAATTTGAGAATTATTTTACGCTAAATCTGGACAAGTAGATTAACTCGTTAGCAGGGGGGGCCTGTCACCGAAAATGGCATTGACATTATTCCGCTCTGGCCTCCTAACAATAAACCACATAGTATGAATGGAATTGGTGAATTTTTAATGCAGAATGTGCCGTTGAATTTATACAAAACAATGTCAAGTAGTTTGATTCATCACCAGGAGAACCCCAGCCACAAACATAATCTCACATCAATTAATTTTGAAAAGCGCAGAAAATGGAGTCAAAAATGAATTTAATGACAGATCTACCATCGGTTAAAGGCATTCAGCCCACCCCCCAAAAAAAATTATATCCGCAAGGTGGCAGTACAATGACGAAATTCATGATTAAATCGAACGCCTGGCCCACTGGGCTCTGAAGATGCCTACCCATCGCCGTGTGATTACACAACGTTGCCAGAACGGCGCACCGGCCTAGTCATCCTGCCGGCGCCAGGCTATATGGGATTTTGGTAAATTGTCACCCTTTCATACAACTACCCGTCAACTTTGACAGCCTGTCAGTTCACCAGTCTTGGAAATGTTATATTCTAGAATAAAGCACTAGTAAGAATGAGGTAGCACCTGACCTTTCAGTCCATTTAAAAAATGTTCCAAAATTATTGCACCCATGAATTTCAGCTAGCTAACGTGACCCGTTCAAACAAAAAGTAGAGGGACCATTGAAAAGCACTGTATGTATATAAGCTACTTTGAAAAAATAGACATCATAGGTAGTATAAGTTTATTCACATATATACAGTTTCAGTGGACCCAACAATCCAAATGCATACATATAGACAAATAAATTTCAAAATCCCACTTGAGTATATATACCTACTAGATACAGATATGAGCATCCCTACTAATATTATAAATGTGTGTATGTTTGTATGTTCCGTTTTCACGCCAAAACGGCTGAACCAATTCCGATGCATTTTGGAACAGATATAGATTAGACCTTGGAGACGAAGGGGTTGAAATGGGGGTAAATGTGACCATGTGCATCAAGAAACTATTATTATTTTAGTTCGTGATATAAATATTGGTTTTTTATATATTTGGTTCATACATATAAATTAAATGAGCACTCACAAAGCAATTTTGGAAATTTCACCCCCAAGCAAGGGTTGAAGCGAGGTAACGCCCTTTGTACTGAGGAACCTAAGCTATTTCAAATAGCCCAGAAGTAGGGGGTATCTTTTGTTTATAATTTTATCTATAAAATAAACTGACATTAACAAAGGCTTCCATAAATGATATCCTCCAGATGGGGAAGGGAGGGGGGTGAATATTTCTTATCAGCTTTTTGATTTCTTGTCACCGTTTTGATAAATTTATCTCGAGAACTAAGACATACATATGTATATCAAAGAATTTCAAAATTTCAGAATTTTAAAAACTTTTAGAATCTTCAAAATTTAAAAAATTTGTATGATTCTCAAAATTTTACAAATTTAAAACCTCAACATTTTAAAAATTTTCATGATTTTCGAAAGTTTATAAATTTTCAAAATTTATCAAGCTTCAAAATCATCAAAATTCTAGAAATTTTCAAAATTTTTTCAATTTATAAAATGTTCTAAATTATTATGATTTTCAAAATATTGAAAAATTTTAAAACCTTCAAAATCTTGAAAATTTTCTAAATATTCGAAATCTACAAGATTTTCAAATTTTTCAGAATTTATGTTGAATTTTCACACTATGCAATTTTGAAAATTTTCTAAATTTTTCAAATTTTCAAAATTTATAAAAAATCCTGAATATTTTCAAATTTACAGAATTTCTATATTCTTCAATAAATTCATAATCTTCAAAATTCTCGGAATTTCCACAATTAATAAAATATTCACAACTTTCACAATTGTCAAATTTCACAATTTTTAAAATCTTAATACTATTCAAAAATTTAAGAATGATTGGAACTTTTGAAATTTTCAAAATATTAGAAATTTATTGACGAAATGTATATTCGATCTGAGCATGAGCTCTAAAGGTGGACATAACCGGAGCACGGTACTCAAAGAATAAATCACACGCGTGGCAACACGGTAACTAGTCAGCATGGCGAACGACGCACCTGTCTTAAATAGGGCCAATAATCTTCCGCCGAGGGCGTGGTCAGCGGGAGGCGTGGTTTTGCCAAAATATTTGTCAAATTACATCTACAACTCAAAAACCGTTTGAGCAAATGAGTTGATTTTTTCTTTGATGGCTTGTTCTTTCAGTTCTTTATGTCTTTTATCCACATACTTCCAAAAAATCGTTTTTCTTCAAAAGAAAAATAAAATTTTTATGCGAAAAATAAATTATATGTGGAAAATGAGCTATAAAGGACGTTCCTTTATTGATTCATAATGCAATCACTTAATTTCATGTCTTTACGATTATTTGTTTCGAAGCTGGGACTGTAAAAAAATTGGCAAAAAAAAGTTGTCATTTTGACAAAAAAACATGAGATTATCATAAAACAGTAATTTTTATATACACCCTGAAATAATCAGACAATAAGTGCTCATAATACTGCTCCAAACGCACAGTTGAAAAAAAGGGACGTGCGACCTTAAGATTGAAATTATAAGAAAGTTCAAATTTTGTATCAAATTAAGTAAGAATAAATCAACACCCAACTATAATATATTCTGAAATTAAGTATTAAAAATTGTTTCCGCCAGTCCGCCACAAAGTAATAATTAGGAGTAGACACAAAATTTAAAACTTCTTGTAGTAACTTTCCCTGTTGAATCACGGCGAAATCGAAAAGCCATATCAGAACCAAGATTCTGCATAACCGTTTCTTTGTAGTAAAATTTGCCAATTTAAGTATTGGCGAAACCTAAAAGCCATATCAGAACCAAGATTCTGCATAACTATTTCTTTGCCCAAAAACAACCAAATTGGGGGAACAATCTTAGATGTTGCTTTTAGTATGACTGAATAAGTAGAAATTTTGTCAACGTTCATAGACAATAGTCTAGGACGTACCTTCTTATCTCTGATTCTGTTTTTGTATAATCTCATTAAAAAAGAACCCCTTTTAACGAATCTGCATGTTGCCAGGCCCAAAATTTCATCAAAAATTGATTAAATACTTATAGGCCTATAGGCATGCGAAATAGACGACTCAGAGACTTGATGAGACGATCGCAGGCTTTTAAAGTAAATGAATGGAATACTCTCTGCTTTGCAAAAAGTATGTCCCGCAAAGAAAACTATTAGTGTCCATAATAGCCTCTAAACGAAACTCATTTTCCGTCAGAATTCAGCATATACATATAATCTTTTTATGAGGCATGTACAATGCAGATTCCACACTTTCCAATTAACTTAACTACCATAGGATCGTTCAAAAAATCAGCGTTTTATTGTAGGAGGCATTTGCAATCGGCTGACGAATTTACAATGTCACTTGGACAGTACCAACGAATTCAGACAAGGTAGAAGGAGAAAGTAAAGGATTTGTTTGTCTGCTAATTCCCATAGTCCCTGTGAGGATCAAATCATACTTGAGACAAGTTAATTTTTTGACAGCCCTGTCATTAAATTCATATTTTAGGGTTATTTTTAAAAAATGCTATTGTTTATAGATAATTGTGGTGTTAGGCGATTTCAAGATAATATGATACTTCTTACAAAATTCAACCTCGTTAGACAGCAATGATCCTATTTCATTTTCATTGATTACTTGTCTGTTTCATAATTCTAAATTATAATTAAAGGAATACATTCTCTATGTTTGCCTGGTTCGCTAAGACCCGTATCGTCAGTCGTCCCTACAATTGTAGGGCGCCTTTATGGCCTCCTTGATTGTCATAGTTTTCTACTTATCCGTGTCAGCCCTCTATTTTGAGGTTATGTCACAAACATCTATTTGCATCAAATTGTGCTTGCTTTTGAATTATATCATGATTTATCAGCCTGAAATTCCCTACAATTTAAAATGAAAACATATCTTCACAATTGGAGAGCGCTGACGCTGACACGGGACAAGTGTAATCTAGAAAGGAGTATGACAATCAAGGAGGCCATAAACGCGCCCTACAATTGTAGGGACGACTGACGATATGGGCCTAAATGAAACCACGTACGTTATAATTACTGTTTACTGAAACAAAGTTATAGTAACACACTGTATATGAATGTGAAAAATAAAAAATGGCACTTCCCACGCAACGCCGTCATAACTTCATAACTGCAAAAGTTTGACCCTCTGAGAAAATAGTTACGAACATGTAATGAAGAGAAATTATACGGATCAAGTCAATCAAAAAGGTTCATAGGATTAGTTCATAGACATTCTTTTCCTGCCCTACCAGTAATACCGTCCATTTGTCAACTTCGCCTCCCCACGATACCTGACCGCACGACGGGTCAGACGCGGCAGCGCAGCACAGCGGTAGTAATAACAGGACACATATTGAGACCGGCACGCCCGCCGGTGAATACGTAAAAAGGGCAGAAGTGACACGTATCGAAAACATTTCTCTACCATCATGTAGTTTTAAGGGAAAATATACAGGGACATCTATGATGTGTTGGGAGCGTTTAAATATACTTACATCAAAAAATTGAAATATATCCTCCCCAATCCGAGATTTTTAACCGCTACAATTTTTTTTCTGAAAATTATTAGGAGCCTGTGAAAAGTCAAAAATCGAAGTTTTTTATTCCAATTTTTTTTCGTCTTTGACCTTTTTCTTGGCCGCCACTGGACCAAATTTCAAAAACTATGAAGCTTTTCCATCCTTGCATAGCCGTATCCCTATGCAAACATTTAGCATTAGCGGACAGAGAGATAGACCGACAGACAGATTTTTGTGATGCAGATAAAAAACAAATTGTTACAGAATTGTCATTTTTACATGAAAAAAGCCACCGTGGTAATTCAAACATATGTGGTTTCATTTAGCGGCCTGAGAAATACATTGTTTCATCATGTGCTATAAGTTATTAGTGTCTACGAAAATTATATCCGATAGACACCTGGCGTACTAGAAATGTTTGATTTTCTTATACTCAGACAGCCTTGAAGACAAAGCCTAAACGTAGGAGCATCCGAAAATTTTGTTTTTTTGAACTATATGTATGTTCATTTAAGTAATGCGTGTGGACGAATCAAACGACTGAAAATAATTCTTACATATTTCTGCCTCAAAGTATGGAAAAGTGTGTGGAATATTTTCCCTTAAAATAAAAATAATAATAGAATGATTTTTACTAATACTTATAAACAGAAGCATTTGTATGTATGCACATACATAATAGATACAGTACCGAATTAGAAGCATTGCATTGTACCAGTTATGGTAATAGAAGTACTGTCTCCTACAAAATTTCATAGAGTTTACCATAGATTATTGGATCACTACAAATATTACACTCTTGAATACGTTTTAGAACCATCTGAAACAGCGCCATCTAAAAGAAAGCGATTCTAAGCCTCCTTGAGCAATAACCTGTTTACACGTCACGAAACTATACCCTATTTCACGAGTATCTATTACGGTAGAATGATAGCTGATTATCTAGTAATATCTCAAAATTCCCCATATCGGCACAGGACACATAATTCCGACGGATCCATCAACGTCAGGTAGTCACAGCCGTATTTTGTTTTGTTTTTTTGTAGCTACAAATTCATTTTGTACTTGATAATAACTCATTTGTATACAAAGAAACAAAACTCTAAAAACAAGTTTTACTAGATTTACACCCGATTCATAATTGCAAACGTCGTAGACTAACACAAAAATGTCACTTCCTGATTAGCTGTTCACCTCAGTAGACGTCAAAGCGTGAACGATACTCGTGAAATAGTGTATATTCAACCCAACGAATTCGAATAGGTTAGGAGCCAAGCCTATATATTTACATTACAATGTTTGTCGCCGAATTTGCATATTTGCACATTTTTTACTCATATCTCTACCAATCAATGCCTACCAAAGTGACAGTGTTGTATCAACATGATAATACCTAGCGCCTGGAATCATCTCCCTTCATTAGCCACTATTTGCAAATTATGTAAATGAAACCGTCTAACACCAACCACAATTATCTCCAAACACTCGCATTTCTAAAGAATAACACTAAAAATAGAAATTCAATAAACTGTCAAAAAATTGACTTATGTCAAGTGCACTTTGATCCTCACTACATGCTATAAGAATCAAGAAATAAAAGAACCTTGACTGCTCCTCCTACTTGCTCTGAATTCGTTGATTCAACCAGACCCGCATCCTTTGTATCATGTATTCACATTACTTTGTTATACCCTTATTACTACCAATCAGTGTTGCCAAAGCGTAGTTTAAAATATCCATCACAAGTATCGCAAAATTCCGCTACATGCCGCTACGGTCTAAAAATTTAAGGGGGGGGAGGCTTAAAATAAACAACAAATATATTTTTTACATATTTACTTTTTTTAAAACACTGTCTAAAAACCCTACTAAAAATACAAACAGTAACATAATATAATTGCAATTTTTCGTAAAAACATAAAAAGTATACCTCTAAAAAAACAAAACTGTCTTTGGTTTAGAATTACGAACTAATAAAAAAATAGAAACTATCACCAATATCTTAATCTTAATAGAAAAAAAAAACAAAAAATAAGGACAAAGAAGAAGCGGAAACGTGGAAATGCCTACGTTTGCTTATTCACAGTCAGAATCAGAAATTACTTCTTCTTCAGCTTGTTCTTCCTTATTTACATTATATAAATTCTTTTTATATTTGTTTAAATGATTCTCATTACAACTATAGGATAAACAGCACTGTTTTTTTGATCCCAAGTCTAATTTAATTGTAAGTAGTGCAGACAAAGTTGATGGTATTATTTTATTTCTTTTTTTTGTTTAGTAATCAAGCATATAAGAAAAAGTTCGCTCAACATCAGCGTTTCCATGAGGCACTGTTAAAATGGTTAGAGCCAGTTGACCTATATTGCGAAATAAATATTTGTCATTAACATTTTTGAGGTCGTTTACAAACGACCAAAATTCAATGACATTACTTTTTGTTTTTAAAATTTTCTCTTTCTCACTATCACTAAAATAAATACATATTTTCTTTAGTTCCAAAATTGCCTTTTCGGTTTCAATATGAAGGGCAAATTTTTTCAAAACGGCGTCATGAAAGGTATCACTTATAATAAGACGATTGTTCATCACATCAACCGCTAAGAGAAATTTTAGCTCTGAAAAGAAGTTGTCTTTGATAGGAAATCTTTTAAGGGACTCTTCTACCGATTTTAATTTAAATTGTTCGATTGCCGTGTTATTGCAGTGTTTTATTGCATCCATTGTATGCGGACCAACATTCACTTGTTCAATTGGTAATAAGCAGTGGGGATCATTAGGATTTAAATTATATAATTTCTCATGTTTAAAATATTCTGGTCGCATAAAGTTTGTACATAGATGACGTACAAATCGCTCACTCTCTATTGATAAGATATTGAGCATAACTTTCCATTAAATTGGTTAAAAATGGGCAACACGAATTTAAAAAACATTAAATACGC